TTGTAAACGGTCTTAGAATATTTATGTATGTTACTGTGGAAAGTCTTACTCCTGTAAGCTGACATATTTTGTTTCATTTAAACAAAGACAACGATTCACGCTAATCATTGGAGTAACACTTTTTATGACTTCGAACTTTGTAATAATCAATGCATTTTAATCGACTTTTGTTATTTCAGAAAAGCACTAAATATTTATCAAGAAGCGGATATAATGATGATTACAAAGGTGGGAATGGCAATCGATTCGGCACTTTGAAACTACTTGATTCGAATGTTTGGAAAGTAAGACTTTCATCTTCTACGATGCCATGATTTCTGGATGTCGTGCATTCATTTATCTTTGCAAAAGGTTCCGACTGCGTGATTTCTTAACAACAAACTACGCATTGGTTTTTTCATCTATTAAAACTGGGTATTATTTACTTGGCACTTTGTTTTGCAAAATATTCATTCCAAGAATTTTCATCTAATTTGAATAGTTCACATGTCAAACTATAAGTGAAATTGAATATGAAAAGTTTCATACAGCTTTAATAGATGATTTACTTGTCATGCTGTTTTAGAAGAAAGGAAAGCTAACAGGAGAAACAGATTCACGACAAGAATACGATCAAAAAAAAGAGGAACGACATTCAGTGTGTCGACTACAGAATTCTAACATCGTTCAAGGTGATGGGATTTTCAGTGGAGAGACTCAAACAAGGGCTGAATTTACGCCAAGAAAAGGAGAACGCTATGAAACTACGCGACCACAGACTTCTGGTTTATGGAAGGTGAATTTAATGGAAGATATTGAAATGAATTATAGTGGCACTGAATCCTCAAATACTTTAGCCAAAAAGAATTAAATGCGGAAATTCTTCAAACTATTTTTCTATAAAGGATACCGTTTTTAAACAAGTTGTGCCAACAGATTCGAATCTTTTATTTGATAACTTCACTTTAGAAAAATAAAGCAACAGTTTTGTAACAAACACGATGGAAGCAGTTCGACCCAAAAGATCGCTCATTTCGAAATTATGTCCTCCAACTTGATTTCTTTAATTATGTGTGTACGGCAAAGAAAAAACTGAAAACTAAATTGTTTTAATATTTCTTAGGAATAATTCAATTTTTCTTTTAAATAATCTTTAATATATGTATAAAGGAAATCATTGGTAGATTTTGTAAACTTGTAGTAAACTTGCAAAGTAAATACCATAACTGGTTAAACTTTAACTAGGTATTTACCCTATAGCTACAAAATGTGAAAGATATTCTAAAATTAATCAAAATCTCTCCGAAAAAAGACGTGCACTGACGAAATTAAGACGAAAAAAATTTGATTTGGAAGTTGCTCAAACATTATCAAAATGATAGCATATGAGTATTTAACGTAACTGATAAAACCAGGTTGAAAATATAAACATGTTCAAGTTTGATTTCTATAAGATCCAATTTAAGGAAATTAAACATTCGGAAGACAAGGCAGCAGTACAACACCACTACAAAACAAAACCTGATTTATATTCAACGATAAGACATCAAGCCACTGACGCTCTCCCCAACAATAAAATATCAGAAACCTATGCAAGGACAGAGCATAGTAAAAAAAAGGGCGAACAAAACGACGTCAAACAATCTACTGATTCAAAAATATGGAAGGTACAAACATTTCAATCAAAGAACAATTAGCAGCTTTCGATCAGATGACCTAGAAAGTATTTTTAACAGAAAAAAAGTGATTTTCTCATCTTTCAATGAAAAGCATTATAATCAGTAAAGCTACCGATTAAAGATTAATTAACAAAAAATAATTTTCAGCCCAAGCTGCTGAAAAACCACAAAACAGCAGATCTTTATGATTAAAGCCGAGGCAATTCAAAATAAATCAAATAACTTATATCTTACACAGGGTAATACATCAGAAACGCAAATTGGTGCTGAGTTTACTGCAAAGAAAGGTGAACGATACGAAACGAAACGTCCTGTTGAATCTGATTTATGGAAGGTTTGCTGCATTTCATTTTTTGGAAAATCATAGAAATTTAGACGCTGATTATTCGAAAATGATCGGATTAGTTCCAGAAGGAAGGACAGATTAGTAGAGATACAGTTTCTCATCAAGATTACACCGGTCGAACAGGAGAACGATACGAAACGAAACGTCCTGTTGAATCTGATTTATGGAAGGTTTGCTGCATTTCATTTTTTG